CTCATTAATTCCTGAAGAAATGGCCTCTTCCCAGAATCCAGCTTTGAGAAGGTCCAGACTTGGGGCGGGAAGCTGCTCTGGGGCACACGCCCCGGGTGTAGGATGGAGGAATGGAAGCCTCGGGTCCCCACCTGCACCCACCCGGCTTCCGTAGACCCCAGGCTTCAGACACCCTAGGAGTCAAGGCGGGAGCTTGGGCGGGTGCTGGCCCACCTCAGGTCTCCAGCCCCATCCCCAATCCCCAGCCCGGAAGCCGTTAACCAAACCATAGCAAGAGGTCCCCTTCCACCTTGGGATTCGCTGACTCGACTTGTAAGAAACAGACGTGGTTTCGTTTGCGGGGTGTGGGACACCAGGTAGAAGGGTGCAGGCGACTAACGGACACCTCATTGAAAATGGAGGTGAGAGGCCAGGAGAGTCCTCTCCCACCAGCGCTCTGTGCCAATTACACGCCCGGCAGGAAGAGAGACATAACCTGCATTCCCAACAGAAGGTGTCGCTACTACCCCAGCAGAAGGAAGATTTTTCCTTGCCCAGCAACAAGCTCAGCCAATGAGAAGCATGGGCGCCTGAACTCTCAGGTTCCTCTAAAGCAGCCTCCCCGCCTCCTCTTTCCCTGGAAAGGAGCATTCCTCCTCCCCTTTGCTTGCTGGGCTTGCCTATCGTTTTTGCTACAGTGTGCTTGGCCCGAATAGCAATTCTCTGCTATTCCTGAATAAACCCATTTTTGCAGGTAAAAATAACTGGCTGCATTATTTTTATGGTCAACATTACGCACCGAACTCAGGCCAGGGAGCCCTGAGCAGCAGGGCCACACGTGGAAGCCAGAGGTTCGCAGTGGCCTGGCCTGCTGCCGCCACACAGCTCCCTCCCCCGCCCCTTCGCCACCCTGTGGCCTGCCTGCCCTGGGCGGAAGGAGGCCCCTGGCCTGCCCGCTGCAGCGCCCAGGTGACCACGCAGGGGTCACGGAGTCGGCGGCTTGGAGCTCATGCAGGCAGGTGTGCGGAGGGAACGCTTCCCTTCACATCTGGCAAACCGCCGCCCGAGCGAGCGTGGAAGCATTTTTAAAAGACACCGCCAATTCTCTGCTATTCCTGAATAAACCCATTTTTGCAGGTAAAAATAACTGGCTGCGTTATTTTTATGGTCAACATTACGCACCGCACTCAGGCCAGAGCCCTGAGCAGCAGGGCCACACGTGGAAGCCAGAAGTTCGCAGTGGCCTGGCCTGCTGCCGCCACACAGCTCCCTCCCCCGCCCCTTCGCCACCCTGTGGCCTGCCTGCCCTGGGCGGAAGGAGGCCCCTGGCCTGCCCGCTGCAGCGCCCAGGTGACCACGCAGGGGTCACGGAGTCGGCGGCTTGGAGCTCATGCAGGCAGGTGTGCGGAGGGAACGCTTCCCTTCACATCTGGCAAACCGCCGCCCGAGCGAGCGTGGAAGCATTTTTAAAAGACACCGCGGTTCAGTGTTTCCGTCTCACCCTCTGGAAATGATAAAAATAGCCTGGGCCCGGGGAAAACCTATGTGTGTGTGGGGGAGGGGGGACCACACGCCTGCGTGGCTGGCCGTTTCCAAAGCCTCCTGCTCCGCCCTGAGGTCCTGCTCTAACCCCCCTCCACCCCCAGAGCTGAGAGGGGGTCCCACAGCGAGGTCAGCACAGCCCCTGCATCTGTCTGGATTTTCACTCCCGGACCGAGGGCAGGCGAGCTAATTAACGAGGTTTCCAGGTCAGGGCCTCGCATGCAGAGCGGCCACAGCGGTCCGCCAGCTTCCTCGGATGGCCCCACAGGAGGTGACCGCGTGGCCAGCACCATTCTGGCTGAGACACAGCGGGGAGGGGACCTGGGTGCGCCATCCGGGCCCTGTCCAACCTCAGCAGCAGCCCTTGGGCCACCGAGCCCGCCCCCTGGTTCCTCGGAGGAGGGAGGGGCTGCCCGCGATGCCACTTCTCTGGAAGGTGAGCTCCGCCCGCAGACCCTGCACAGGAGTAACCTCCCGGCTGCACATGAGCCTCCAACCTGGGAGCCGCCGCCTGGC